CACACACACACACACACACACACACACACACACACACACCTCTGCACACACACACACACACACACACACACACACACACACACACACACAAATAATAGAATTATCATTGCTTGCCAAGTAATACATCAGACATGATTTTAATAATCAAATACAATAATTCTGACAATCTAATTCAAAGATGAAACCACTGTATATTGTAAATGTCTACATTTCTGTGCCTTTTAAAAAAAACCTTTGTGATGATTAAGTGATTTGATTTTCCCGTTGATATTTAAAAGCTTGTTTTCCCTGAAGCCGATATATAAACAGCATATTAATGGGAGGCTCTTCAAATCCACCCACTGTGAAAGAAAAACAAGACTGAAAATGTGAAAATAAATGCTACATATCCTCTCTGCATTTGAGTCACTTAATCTGTGTTCATCTCCATTACCAGCTGCAGACACTTGAGCACAGCGCAGATTTTATATACTTACAGTTGCCTCAGAAAACATTTGTTGTAGATTGTAAAACTATAACAAATCTGTTGTAGATAAATTCTGAATAGATTCAATTGCAATGTTATGTCTAATGTCTAACCAGTTAATCCATGGGTCTACCTGATTATTTGGGCCAAATCTGAAAGGATTCTCATGCGGCATTCTTATGATGCGTTCACAAGGCAAAAAAAGGTATTGTGGGACCAGCATGGCCTTGATCTTTAACAACCAAAATCTAATCAGCTCATCTTTGAGTCTAACTGTTTCTAACGTTTGCACAAAATTTCAAGAAATTCTCTTTCACCCTAGCAAACCGCAAACACAAAGCCTACCGCCACTGGCTATCACTGGTGCAGAGGTATAAAGACAAAATGTAGAGCGTGACATATCTAACATCATCTCAGCACAGGATGTCTGAATCTAAGCCAGAGTGACCACCGGCTTCTCTTTCACTTCTTTTCAAGACCCTACTTCCCCAATTTCTCAGTTTGGCCGTGCAGCCAGCTCCACAAAGAGTTCTGGCTGTTACACAGGGTTTTTCATTGAAGAATTACAAAAGGCCATTGTGGCTCTTGAGAATCTTGAAAGCAAAACAGAAATGTTTGTATCCCTTCACCAGTCCCCGTCTCTGAGCTCCTGCAGGCAGCTCTTGTGCATGATTGATTCGTTGTGAAGCATTATAAGATGCATTTCTTGCACGAAAGAAGCTATAAATTAAGTATGTTGTTATTTTCCAACAGCAGCAAAAATGCCATACCAGTTTTATTGTCTGAACAACATCAGAAACAGAAAAATCTATCAACACCAACATTAAGACATTAATACTGCCCAACCCACCTTCAGAGTCCTCTGCAGAGATGGGAGGATGACCTTGTCAGCAGCAATGCATCTATCAGACCTCTTTATAACAGAGTGGTAAGATGGCAGCCATTTTGTGTAAGCGGTCTTCTTGGAGTTTGCCAACCCGTGTTGAAAAGTTTCTGAGAGCTTGAGAGAAAAAGATTCTCTGGTGTGTTGTTTTGGACAGAACTACAAGTCCCATGTCTGGTGAAACCTACTTTTGTGGCTTAGACAAAATATCAGGAAGCTCTTGAATAAATAAAGCTTTAACAGCACATAAGACCACTTGGTAAGATTTAAAATTGCTAGTGAAGCAGTGAGGCTGGAGACCACAACCAACTGAACACCCGTCACCTCATCCATCCCCCTCGTAACATGTAGAAAATCCTGGACTTCAGAACCAGTGTTTCATTTGTTAATTCTGAGTTACACGGGGGTGAAATGTGGGATAAGCTATATCTTAATTTAGGGGCTTCAACATTCGGAGGCTCCATATGAAGACCGATTGCGCTACAGCACTGTGCCGAGGCGCCCATTTCACAAGCTCCTCAAATGTGAAGGACAAATGCTTCTTATCATCCCTGCGCAGTGAATGCTCCAACAGGTGAATCCTTCCCAGCCAAACCTATTCCAGAATTCAGTGATGAACCGTTTTTCAAAAAGGGATGGGTATCACACTTCAACTCAACCAAACAGCTAAAGGTAGACATGCTAAAAAACACCAAGCAGCATTAAAACTTTATCAGTGTGTCCAACTTCAGCTCTATTACTAGGCAGAAGTAACAAGGGATGACCTGGTGAGCATGATGTTGGTGTGACATGTGTCCCTAACTTCAGTTCCTATATAACAAATCTTTAGCGTGTCACCTGTATCAGCATCAATAAAGCTTCATTGTATTTGAATAGATGATTTCATTTAAAGGTTCAGTGTGTAGAATTTATTAACATCTAATGGTGTAGTTGCATGTTGCAGCTAAATGGCCCCATCTCTCCCTTCCCTTCCAAACTCGAAAGAGAACCTGTGGTAGTTTCAGTTGGCATAAAAACTCAAAAGGTGTTTGTCCAGTTTGGTCTACTGTAAAAACATGGCGGCCTCCCTAGAGAGGACCCACTCCCAATATAAATATAAAGTATTTCAATATAACAGGTCCATTCTACAATAAAGAAAAAAGATTTGTACAATTTAGATGATTACACACTAACAGAAACATCACTTTAATATGTAGTTTCTCCCAGTAGATCCCTTTCCCCTAAATCTTACACACTGGACCTTTAAAGTTATTCAAACTTCCCCTCGTGACGTCAGACCGACCTCAGCACAGGTGCCAGCCAGAGAAAAAGAGAAAAGTAGATCCGGGCCGAGTTGTTACCTGACCAGGTGGAAGACGAGCACCAGGCTGTCCGCGACCCTCTGACTGGACTTGACGATGAACACGTACAGGTAGACGGCGATGGCCACGGTCCAGAAGAAGGAGCTGGTGTTGGCGAAGGTGGACACGGCTCCTTGTACGACGCAGTCCAGGGAGTCGCTGCGGAAAGACCTCCACACTCCGAAGGCGTACGAGACGGCGGAGAGCCAGTCCGACATGGAGAGGAAGACCAGCAGCCTGCGGGGAGTGGTGCGTAAATCTGCCCACAGGACGTAGGTGAGGATGATCAGGGACGAGCCCAGGAAGGAGAGCGCGCAGGAGCACAGCACGACCACCTGCTCCGAGAAGTAAACAACTGTCTCGTTGCCGCTCGCCATGGTTTGTTGTGCTGAGGGTACGAGCTGCTGTCACCTCATGGACATCTGCTGACAAACAGGGTTTGCACACAGTCCCAGTGCGCACTAATCCATCACGGTGTGCGTTTTGGATGAACACCAGCGCGCCACTGGTCCCCTTCAAGGCTAGGACACTTTTTAAACTCGGAGTGCAGTCGGGCCATGTGACTCAACAAAGTTATTCAATAGTTTTTCAGGCAGCCAAACAAATCTTTTCCGCCAGGCTTTAAGCCCTGCCCCCCCGCTCCTTCCTCCCCGCCTCCTCGATGCGTCAACCCGGAACCAAAGCAGAAGTTGGAGTCAGCTGGTGGTGGGCAGACTGGTAAATATCTATTTGTAGCTTCTAATGATCTTTGCTGATGTGGCCCTGGGAAAACGGTTACATCAGGGTTTGTCACATAACAACAGATGGCAGCATGTTGAAATATAATGTTTCCACTCCATGCATGGTATAGGCCAATGTAAGAAATGATCCTGTTATGTTTCATTCCACAATAGATATAGTTTCTTATAAATACTCATTTCAAGCTCGTAAATCCTCAATCATATTACCTAACAGGGAAGTACAGAATAGGCCTACCAAATTATAAGTTTGATCAACGCAAGTAAAATGAAAAAGTGCACTTGGAACTTTATATAAACTGGATCGCTGCTTATTATAGCTTGACAATAAAAGTCTGAGTCAGCTGTTAAAAAAAGCAATGCAGTTTCTCTGTGTTGAATGTGCTGGGGGAAAAAAGATTCTAAAACGGTACCAGTAAAAGAAATAACAAGGAAATACTTAAAGAATAATCCCAACCCAAAGAGAATCAAACAGATGTAAAGATTCCAAGTAAAATGAGATGAGCCAAGATAGTAAAATGATAAAATAATCACCTTTTGATGCTCATTCCAAATTCCAATAAGCTTTATTTATACAGCACCCTTAATAAAACGCAGCTCTAGGTAGAACAGAGCAAATCAAAACACAGCAAGACTATAAAAGATGTTTGAATGTATAAAAAAAAGTATTAAAGCAAAGTTAAGGTTACAAAAAAAGAAAAGAAATGGTTATAATTTAAAAAAACAAACATCCTAAAAATACGTTTTGAGCAGTTATTTTGTAATGTGCAGACACAGGATGTACATCTGATGTGTAGTGGGAGTATGTTTCTAATCTTTGGTGCATAATCACAGAAAACTGCCTCACTGTGTTTCGTAGTTTGAGTGCGGCATGTTCAACAAACCAGCAATTAGTGACCTCAGAGAGCGGATAGGATGGTAATCTGATAGACAATCTAAAAGATTAGATGTTGCCAGGTCATTTTTATTTTTAAAACAATGAAGAGAATTTAAAATCTAAGCTCAGTGTTAATGTTAATATGATAAGGAAAGGCAGCTGGAAACCAGTAAATCAGCATCAGAAATTTGAGCAGTTGACAGAAGTTTTACAAATTACTCAGGCTGTAAACTAGGTGTTAGAATAGGAGCCACCTCGAAAATGTAATCAACAGGATATCAACTCATTTTTCATTTTTTCTCTATGATGCATTAAAATATAAAATGTCAATAAGTTAAAAACCTTTAACATTTCTCAGAGCTCAAGGTGAAATCTGCTTATCAGTCAAATCAATACTGTGAAACCTCAAGGTAAAAAAAAATGTAATCTCAAAATTGTTGCCAATTGATTTTGATTTAGGTCTTTATATTCCCCTGTATGGTGTATTATGACCTGGTGAACGCTTTAACACACTTTAATGGGTTTTACCAAAGAGCTGAAGAAGAAGTGTAGGAAGATTTAAAGCCGTAAAAACCAGTGACCTTGTGTGAGTACAGAAATTTACTGCTCCTGCACTGCTGCACCTTCAGAAACAATGGCCATCGCTGTTTGCAGCAATGCAGAGGCATGCAGGTCTTTTCCCTGCAATCTGCTGCAGGCACACACTCCTCTGCATTTATCATCAGAGTCCCCGATGGCCAACAGAGCAGCAGCATTAACTGTTTACAACAGACCAACAAAAGATTCTGTGATTCTTGAGAAAATATCTATGTGATCATAAATCAGGAGCACAGCGTACATTGAGCTGCGTGTGCGTTTGCTCTGTGTGTGTGTCAGTGTGTGTGAGTGAGAAATTAAATAAGAGTGCACCTGGCATGAAGTTGGCCGTTCTGGCTCATCTGCACCCTACGGCGTTCACATGGATACATCATTTTTACAAAGAGCTTTTACAATGTGGTTTGTACATAATCATATGTTCCAGAGTTACAAAACACACATGTACTGTGAAAACAAACAAATCAGATTCATAACAATGTCTCTGTAACTTTTATTTATCCATTATGTGGATCAGTTTAATGTGTGTCACTAACAAATTATTAGGCGACAATTAATACATCAGGGTTTATATTAATAAATATTCACCATTTATTTGTTAACTGTACAAAAACAACATGCCTCTGCAACTGAAATATATTAAAAATCACATGATGAGATAGTTTCTTAATGAACAGGATTTTAGGTTGTTTAAAACGCAACATTGGGTTTTTCAGATTGATGCAGTGTTTGATGGAGAAATGCATGCTGGGAGGTTTCAGACACAAGATGGCAGCAGAGGCTGATGAAAGTACAGAACAGAGTGCAGAAGTTTGATGCATTGATCAGACAGTAAATATGTAAGAGGCTGTAAACAAAGCGGCTCATGCTCTCAGTCTCCAACGTGTCCCCGGCTCCTGTTATTTTCTACTGCGTCAGCACACGTGTAAGAACTTACAGTAGCAGCAGGATCCTTGCTTGCTACAGTGCTGATTTAGGTTTTTTCCTTTTCTTTCCTCCCTCTCATTTTTCTCCCGGTGATGGCTGCGCTCCCAGGGCCTCTTATTGCGAAGAATTTCTGCGGCAGTATACTTGCTGATTGCTTCGTTCTCACTCCTCACAACAACCAGCTAAGACACTGCCAGAGAAACACCCACAGCACCCGCGTCCGAGCAGATCCGCCTGCCTCCCTCTTTCTCTCCTCGCCGTGCACTTCCACCTGTGAGTCTGGCACCGCGGACGATCAACGCTTTTCATGCCTGGCTTTGTGGTGGTGGTGGCTGGAAGGCAATGGTTTCACCCACTTGGGGGGGGTGGTGTGGTCCTGTTGCCAACAGGCTCTGTAAGAGAAGCAGGAAACAATGATTGAGTAACAAGTGGTTCATGGAATCAACCCATCTTGTTCAGATACATTAGGATGTAAACTTAAAAATAAATCTCACAAATCTAAAATTAAGATTCTAAGAGGTTCTGTGCTCCCCCTTCCTCAGCGTTTATGTAACTGTGATGTATTGATGAGTGTGCGCTCCTCTGCCCAAAGTGACCCAGAGCCTGTTCCCAAACAGATCCTTCGTACTTTTCTCACGATTGGTGCAGCATCACTTTAAGTGCACACAACTTGGACACACACAAACACCCCCAAACTAAGAATAGACTTACCATGACTCATTATTTTGCAACAAAAAGGTTCGTCTCAGCTCTCTTGTATTAATGCAATCTCCGTTCACACAAGGGCCATATTGTACAAGAGTGTTTATGTTCCTATAAACGGGTAACAACTTAAATCCCGTTGCTGCCACTTGTGTTTGCTGGCTGCTGCGCTATTTTGAGCCAGCTGACCGCTCCATACTGTTCTCTCCCTGTGGACTGTGCTTTGCTGTCAGGACAGCATGGACACTCGAGAGCGATCGGTACTGTAGTCATCACCAAATGAGGGAGGAGAGGGAATCATGGATGAGACAGAGAAAGTGTCGGGAGGGACGCGCAGTTGGCCGAACGTCCTGAGTCTGGTGTAGCTTTAAATCCACAGCGAGGCTATTTGTGGTCCTCCATGTCTTTTATGACACATTGGTTGTATAACTGAAAATTCCTCGCCTCTGTGGTGGTTTGAGCATTTTGACCGTATCTGATATCTAAGAAAAATCTGATATTTCTAAGAACTGTTTGTAAAATCTCACACATTGATGCACCAAGTGTTGTCTGCCCCTGTCTTATATGTACGGATACAAGTGATGTCCTCAGACAAACAGAAGAGACGGCTTGACCTTCTTTCAGACGACCAACAGCTGTGTCCGTGTCTCTTTGTGTCTTTGTGGTGCAGCCACACGCTGCCTTCGCTGAGCACATGATGACAGGAATTTTTCCTGCTCAGGGCTTGATGTAATCCCTAATACAGGATTGAAGAATGCCAGTGGAAACAACAACCGGCTTGCTAAATGAACAAGCGGCCGCCTCACGGCATCACTCGGCAAAGCAGCAGCAGCAGGAGCAGCGACGAGCCTCGACTCACAAACCTGCCCACAAATATGTCTAAGGCCTCAGGCTGAGTTCAGCTTTTATGGGAAGAATTATATCTTCCTATTTCTGTACTGTCGGCCAAACAGAAAGCAAATGTTGGAAATGTGTTCGAGGAGTGGATGAATGAACATAGATTAAGGTTTGCCAGTTTAAAAGTCATGTTTAGTACACCTCCATTTAGACTTCTATTTTCAACGTGATCAGTGCTGTAATGCATTATTATTCTAATTTTTGATTGATCTACCTTCTTTTGGCTTTTATATAGATATTAAATTTAATTCTAAATTACCGTACTTTACAGATTCTGAAGAAATAATAATTTAGTTGATGTTTCCTATTTCCCTAAAAAATACATTTTTTAATTCATAATATAAAATTGTTTGAATAAATATTAACACAATCATAAAAAATTTAATACAGTACACACACACATAAACACATATAATGTATGTAACTACTTAATAGTCAAATCTCATGCATTAAGTTGGCTCTAACATTAACACTGATGAATTAGTGTTCAGTGTGGTATCTTTTAGCTGTAATCCTCTTGTCAAAACCATTTTCAGCATAAGCACATGATTGTGCAGCTATTCAAATTAATTGAATAAAAATCTTTGTGGAGCTGTAAATAATGATTATTTGAATTATTGATTGATCTGCTGATTCTTTTTTCTTTTCTTATTTCTGTCTAAATGTGACACCTTCATGTTTAGTTTTGTTCACTCAAAAGTATATATACACAAAATGATTATGTTAATATGAAAAAGGAAAGAGGGAAAACTATCAAAGAATATTTAGCATTTTATTGTTAAAATAGTTGTGTGTATCAGCTAATTGACTGAATCAGCTCTAATTGAATAAATGCATTTCACATGTGAGAAATGTGGTATTCCCATAATGCACAGTGTTTGTCTCAGAGCTGCATTTAAGTAACTAAGGTGTCTGAAGTTACAG